CTAGAGAACTAGTCTCACCGACTAGTGCCCGTAAGTGGCGTAGATTGAGACCTACGTCCTTGGCTACTCTCACAATACCTATATACTAGAGTGTACCTGTATAGCCAATGAAGAGAAGACACACTTTAAGGTGCCAAGAGATTGAGATATGCTGCTATTTTGTGGTAATGCAACAGGCCACTGACAGCTTTATCTAATTTATCAAGTACGAAAATACAAGAACTTTAGAGGACATAACAAGAATATGCTATCTGTGTATTGTATGTGAAACAAGAAAACTTAGATGATGAACCTCTTTTTGAAGTGTTTCCACCACTGCTTCATTTCTGGAGTTAAAGAATGACGGAAAGAAAAATGAGTTTCCATTCAAAGTCTCCTTTGTACTAAACAATGCTCCAGGATAGCCAATGATGCAAATATGTTTGCAAATAATGAGATAAAAGTTGTCTATCTATCTCTTAATTGGAATATGCAGACAAGCTATTGTCTGCATATTCCAATTAAGAGTGCTTGTTTGAATTTGAACAAACAAGCTCTACAGGAGCTTATTTTGGGAACATGGGAACAAAGTTGAAGAATAACTTTAAAAAAAGAAACTCAACTTGAAAGCATTTGACAGCAGGCATTACTTGAATGATGCCAAATGCCTTGCAGATTTCTTTTATGAATAAAATGACAATCTCATTTGTACAATGAAATTTAAGGAAAGATGTAACAATATTTTAAAACACACAACTATATTCAGAGAATTAAAACAAAAGCAGTAGGGATATTCATCACTATGTTCTTCTAAAAGTCAACTGCTATGTATAACACTGCTAGTGCCACTGAATCTGATTCTTAATTTCATGAACTGTGCTTAACCAGCTTTTGACATTCTGAATGTAGAGAACTTCTAAATGCTACTCATTATGGTGAGTATCCTTGTAAGGACACTGCTTGTGTATTTGGACACAAGCAGTGTCCTTAATACAGTATAATAAAATTTTACTCTAAACATTCAGAAATACTAGATTAAAATATTCATTACAGAAAAACACAAGAAAAATGTTTTAAACACATTTGAATGGTTAATTGTAACAAATGGTTGAATAAATATCTATAGTCTATTTATTGTAACTTGGCACCTACTGTAAACAAACTAAGACACACATCACTTGTTTTTTTTTGGTTTAAACCCACGTCCATCAATTAGAAACCACATTGCACCTCATTCATCCGCAGAAAATAGTTCTTAATTATTTATAAAATCATTAATGAAATACTAGTCACTTAGCAATGATTATAAATGTAATTATTTCATATTTGTTAAATTGTTGTTTTAATGAATATTTGCACATTCTGAATCATTAAAAATAAACTTTTTCCAGTCATGCGCACTATAATGTTTTGGTTTCATTTTCCATTTATTACAATAACTATCTTTATTTCAAACTGTGTGTTGTCAAATAACAAAAATGGAAAACTTGAATCTAAATACCATTAAACATTGACAAGGAAAATCGCTGAGGAGCTTGGATAAATGAATAGTATTAAACTTGTTTAATTCTTTGACTGAAATGAATCCAGAAGTCTGTGTGAGAAATATAGTGAAAATGGTAGCAAAGACAACAGGGATATCAGAAAGGAGCATTTACAGAATTTGTAAAGAATATTTTACTAATGGTAAAGTAATAACTCCTTCAAAAATCTGTCAGCGTACTCAACTTGTTGACAAATATGATGAATTCACAAAATGTGCCATTAGAGGTAAAGTACACAATTTTTATTTTTTAAACAAATTACCTACTGTATATAAGGTATTACAGGCTGTTAATGATGATCCAGGTTTAACAGACTCTACTCGATCCACGATATATAATTTGTTAAAATTACTTAATTTTAAATATACAAACCGAAACAGAAATAGTAGATTAATTGAAAGAGACAATATCATTTTATGGCAAAGACAATATCTACAAAAAATAAGAGAAATGTGTTCTTTAGGCCATAAGATTTACTATTTGGACGAAACATGAATTAATATGGGCCTTACCAAGAATAAAGTATTATGGAAGGTCCGTTCAATTACATCATATCACAAAGCTTTTATATCTGGATGATCTACTGGATTGAAAAATCCTTCTGGAAAGGGAAAACGAATAGTTCTTGTTCATACAGGCAGCAATACAGATTTTCTTAATGGTGGTCTATATGAATTTGAATCAAAGTCAACAAAAGATTACCATGAAGACATGGATAGCAATAATTTTAAAAAATGGTTTGAAAAAATATTATCAAAATTAGAAAGTAATGCTTTTGTTGTCATAGAAAATGCTCCATATCACTCAGCTAAAATTGAGAAGATTCCAAATTGTAGTTGGAAAAAAGCTGACATAATTTCTTTGTTGGAAAAAAATAAGGTTCGTCATAATGACAAAATGTTGAAAATAGAACTTTTGGATATTGTTAAAAAAGTAAAACATAAATACGATATATATATTATTGAGGAAATGGCCAAAGAAATAGGTAATAATGTGTTACATTTACCCGTATCAGTGTAATCTAAATCCTATTGAATTGATATGGGCAGATATGAAAGGTTACATCGCATGTCACATGTCACAACACATCATTCAAACTGTTGGATGCATAAATTTTAATGAATAAAGCTATTCAATAAATAACTGAAGAATGATGGAGAAAATGTATCAAATGTATAGAAAAAGAACAACAACGAGTGTGAAACTTGATGAGATTTCAGAAACTATTGTAGAAAAACTGATTATTCAGTTGAACACAAGTAGTGACAAAAGCAATATAAATGATTACTTTGAGTAACTATCTTCTGATACAGTTGATTAATAAGGCAAGTTTATATTATAATTATTTTAAAAAATTTTTAATTATATAAATATCACATAGGTAAATTCATACATTACAGTAATGTTTTCCTTTGGAGGTTTGCATATGATTTTTAAGGATTGCCAGAGAATTTTTTTTTTTGGTTTTGTTTTATATCTATTTAATAAAATAGTTATGTAGATAAAAATTCTGAAGTATGTTCAACTACACAATTATAAATATGTTTTGTGTAAATCTTAATAATATATATTTAATAATAATTTTTGACAAACTATATTTAAACAATGGAAATAATTTAAATGGCTACGTAAAAATGTTAAAGTAGGCTATAATGACTTTTCCAAGTATTATCTCGGTAATTTTTAAATTGTTGTGACCATTGACCTACTTTAACATGTGCAGAGAAAGGGGCTTAACTGGTCAACGTGTGTGTAGCCACTTCCGATTGTGATTTGACCAATGAAAATCTCTGGCTGATTAATACGACAAAATCTTTGTTTACAGTAGGTGCCAAGTTATGATAAATAGATTTTAGATAATTATCTGGAATACTTGGCAGAATACAAATTAATGCAAAATTCTGTTTTATGTGATACTTGTTTTACATAGGGGGTGGCATATCAACATGACCATATTGTTAATAATCATCAAATTTTTAATTAATAATAAAATGTTTTAATTAGAATATATAAAAACAAATTTCAATTTAGCTATTAATATAAAAAGCATTTTATTACAATTGAAACTTAACATTTTATAAATGAGATAATGAGTAATGGTACAAAATATCCACTATATAAAAATTAATCAGGTAGTTTAATCAGTATCAGCTAGTTTAACAAACAGATTTTCATAGTCTATCAAATTAAATTATAATCTCATTGTAATGCAAAGGCTGTATGATAATTAAGGTACAGATCAAAATTACAACAACTTATTTATTGTAAAAATCTTGAAAAAATTTAATGGACACCAATAACTTATATTTGCTTTTCCATAAACATTTATCACAGCATTTCATAAGTTTAAATATTTCTTCCTAGTAGTTCTCCTGTCTAAGTACTGTACAACTGCAATGCATTTTGGTTCTTGAATCTTTTTCCCAATAAGAAATTCATGGACAAATAGATGAAAATCTGATGGAGTACAAACAGGACTATGCAATGAATAATACAGAACTTCCCACTTTCCCAACCAAGCTTTTTCTGGTTTAATAAGTAAGATCGTGTAAAATCTCACTCCAGTATGTAACTATCCTCACCTCTTTCACATTAATGACTTCAGGCAATTTTTTGACAGTTTTGCAGTATCTATCACTGTTAATGTTGTGTTCAGCAGAAGAAATTCACCTTTACAATCCCTGAATATAGTTGCTTCCAGATGGCTAAACTTCAAAATTTTGCAGTTGGTAATAAGAATGTTTCCATATCATGGAGTTTCTTTTTTACTCTGGTGTAAACTCAAGTGCATGTTTCATCTCCTACAATGATGCTTTTACAAAAGATTCTTCTTCATCTTGGTAATCATAGATTTTCAAGTAAACCAGCCATTCTTTCATGTGTGTTCATTTGGTCAGCATTTTCAGAATCTCCAGTGATAAGACATTTTATGGAACTTTAAATCCAACATGATTTCACAACCTTTAACTTTGATCATCTTTTTTCAAACCTTCAATAATGATACAATTTTTATCAGTGTGCAAATTCCTTAGCCTGTCACTGTTTTCTTCTAGGTCTTCATTCACTACAGTTCAGTCATCTTTGAATTTGTTGCACCATACATACACTTCTTTTCTGCTTAAAACATTCTGGCGATAAATTTATCACAAGTTAGAAAATGGTTAACTCTGTGATTTATTCCTTCTGCTTGTAAAATTCTGATAATTACATGCACCTCAAACTTGAAATAATTTTCAATCATATAATTTTGTTTGCTTGTTAAATGAAGACTAGCAAAGGGAGAAAAACAACAAACGCACAGCAACTACTATTCTCCACCACATAATCATACATGCCCATGACATTGTGGCTTTATATGTAGGTCATATATAATCAATACCTGTACCTTTAACATCAAACTGTCCTTGTGCAATATTTGATTTTATAAATAGCAAAATCTTTTTTGTATATGTTAACTTAAACTATTTTAAACTTTACCTGTATCAGATTTTGCAATAGTGAAATAAGCAATAATTTTCTTATTCAGACCAATGTCCCACCGCACTTCAATATTATCCTGTGTTTGTGATTCCTTTAACTTTTTATCATAGTCAGCTTCCATTTTAACAAGTGGTCCAAATATATTTTGATACTGGTATCCATCTTCATATCTATATAATAATTAAATCATAAAATAATTAAGAATTTTGTAAACAATAAAAATTTTATTAAGCTTTCTTAATGTTTAAAGTTTACATAAAAATTCAAATATTTGTAAAATATATCAAAATTCATATTATATTTTAAACTTTTATTGTAATTTACACAGATATTCATGCTCATAACTCAAGATTATAAGAGGGGTTATAATTTGCCACATACATAGTTGATTTTTTTTATTGAAAATTTGAATTTACATCTATAACTTGTTTATTGTAATATAAACAAATTTAAAATAACTGATTTTTCTTTAAGATTAGCAATTTTTAAGATGCTAATAAATTTAAAATAAAATACTAAGCATTAATCAGATGTTTGTAATAATATTTTGGATGAAATTAGCAAAACTTAATGTTTAAAACAACATTAATACAACAAATATCTACAGAAAATAACCACTTCTTTATAATATATATATAATAACATTTAGATACTATTTCAATTAGTGTTTCTCAAACAGGATTCCGGGATCCCGGTTGTTTTTTTAACCCAGGAAATCCCGCAAATTTCTTAAAAATTCACTTTTTTTCTTATTTTGTGTTAAGGTTAAGAAATTTTGCAAACAGAAAGCATAATTGTCTCATTCACTGTCAGAATACATTTGTATTTATTAATTTTAAACCTACCTATTAATTTTTTTTTTACATTTTTGCTCGTTATGGCATGTCACAAATGGTCGATAATCAATACGTAGCTTATTTATGGCAGGACTCTGAAAATTCTTTACTTGTCAGAACCCATTATATATGGAATAATTGTGCTTACACTATCTTAATTTTTAACCATGCCCAGTAGCTTCAATAAATGAGTAACACCAGATTGTGCAAATTGGGCAAAGATACAAACAAGTATAAAGTCTGCAAGTATGAAGTTTTTCTTCATAAACCTGATTACTAAAACCAAACTAATTGCTGAATTATTGAGCTATAAGCTCGATGCCACTATTAAAGCAGCCGAGGTAGACAAATGAAAAATACTAGAGAGCAAAACAATTACTACAATCTCGAAATCTTCTAGGCTACAGGTGAAAAAAACACATAATATCTGTCTTCTCTTAAATGCATTAAACACGATTCCAATCACATCAATTGAATCGGAAAGGGCATTCTCAGTAGCGAGACTTTTCGTTACTAAAATAAGAATTAAAGTGAGTGATCGGAGTATTGATCATCTTTGCTTTTTAAAATCTTATAAATGTTTACAATATTTTGTATTATATTTTATTTAAAAAACGAAAATTACCTTCTAAGTTATAAGTTTTATCTAAGTTCAATTTTTAATTTTTAACTCAATTCAAAGCATTTTTGTTGTTGTATGCAGTTTCTAGCAAACTTTAATAAATTTTTTTCTATTTGTGAAAATTTCTACGTAATTCAAAGGTAATTTTTATTATATATCTTACACAGCATTATTAATATGATTTTGGATGATACAGAACTTTAAAATTACTTTAAAAAATGAAAAATAATTATATCATTTAAGTTCAAGATATTTTGTATACCTTAAAAATAATTGATTCTATCCCGGGATCCCGGAAAACAGTTCACTTTTATCCCGGAATCCCAGGACAAGCAAAAGACTGGGAAATGAGAAACCCTAATTTCAATAAACTTTCAAATTTTAAACACCAACATATAGGTATACCCTGAAGTATAAGAGCATAATGTGAAATAATAATGAAATATACACTTCCTATTGTCATAATTACAAATACACCATCAAATGCTGATGATATCAATAATTCAGAAATGCTTGGGTTTGAATGACTAGGTTAATTTGCAATATCTAATAAACATGATTTTTATGATTTATGAGTTGAATTTCAAGGTGTGCAAGATTTTCTTATTCAAAATATATTATGAAATATATACATTCCAAATCATAAAAAATATTCTTAAATTTAACTTTCTATTTTTATTTACAAATTTCTTTAAAACTCAAATTAAAAAAATAATAATTTTTTAAAACTTACAAATAATCATATAATATAATATAATAATTCCTTTAATAACATTAACCCTAACAAAAACTTATATTACCTCAGGAGAACTTGCTGAGGTTCTTCATCAACTCCTGGTTTTTCTAAATCTTGAAAAGTTGCATCAACATTATCCTATAATATAAAATTTAAATTTTTATTAACGATTAAAAAGCAAATATTATTATAATGAAAACAATCATAAAATATTTATTGAAAATGCTAAAAATTTTAACTATAAATAATTTTATTACAGAAATATTCCCAACTGTGTATATTTTTAATTTTATATTCTTGGAAGAAAAAAGTTACCATATAAGATAAACTACAGAAATATTAAATACATGAGTATAAACTCAGTATGGACAAATAAGTTAGTAAACCAATAAATATTCTGTTAATTCTGAAACTAATTATATCAATACGAGGCATGTCTGGAAAGTAAGTACCATTTCATTCTACCGCCATCGCAGAGGTAGTATTGCAGTTCAGTGCCTGCGCACACATGTCTATAGTTGATTGTCAGTCCAGTGACACCATTAGAGCCAAATTGTGTTGTTTTCCCACATGTTAGTGAGCATTCAAAATGTTTAAGACGATTGACAATCTGGCCGACTGTGAAGTGCGTTCTGTAATATGGTTTTTGAACGAAAAGAATATTAAGCCAGTTGAAATTCATCGTCAACTTGTAGAGATTTATGGTGAAAATGTGATGAGTGATGGAATGGTGAAAAAGTGGGTTCAACAATTCAATGCTGGATGCACCAATGTTCATGATAAAGCACAGAGTGGCCGGCCTTCTGTTGTCAATGATGGTTTTGTTGCAAAAATGAATGAGAAAATTCTTGAAAACAGACAGTTCACAATAAGATTGCTTTGTGATGAGTTTCCACAAATTTCAAAAACTGTTTTGCATGAGATTGTCACAAATCGCTTAAATTATTGCAAATTGTGTTTCCGTTGGGTTCCCAAAATGCTTACGGATGTCCACAAAACAAAGCAACTTGGAAGTGCTTTGACATTTCTTACCCGATACAGTGAAGAGGGTAACGATTTCCTAAACAAAATTGTTACCGGTGATGAAACTTGGGTTTATCATGTCACTCCAGAATCAAAACAACAGTCGATGGAGTGGAGGCACTCATGGTCCCCCCCAAGACACAAATTGAAAACAACATTGTCAGCATGAAAAATCACGTGCACTGTGTTCTGAGACAAACAGGATGTTCTGCTTGTTGAGTTCCTTCCCAGAGGTGAAACCATCAATGCAGAACGAAACTGTGAAACATTGCGAAAACTTCGCCATGCAAGTCAAAACAAAAGGTGTGGAAATCTCAGTAAAGGCATCGTGTTGCTTCACAACAACGCATGTCCCCATACTGCTGGTGTCACTCAAAACGTTATTCAATAATTTGGTTGGGAGCAGTTCGATCACCCGCCATACAGCCCCGATCTTGCACCTGCAGACTACCATTTGTTCTTGAACTTGAAGCGTGATTTTGGAGGAAGGCGCTTTGCCAGCGATAAATACGCAACAACCAATGTTCAGCAGTGGCTGTCTTCACTGGCGGCATCTTTCTTTGAAGAGGGTATAGACAAGGTGGTTTCCGGTTATGACAAATGTCTGAACAATGGTGGTAACTATGTAGAAAAGTAATTTCCGACATGCTCTTTCATGCAAAAATAAATTTTGTTTTGAAAAAAGATTTTTTATGTGAGTTTTTCCAAAATGGTACTTACTTTCCGAACATGCCTCATATTATGTTACCTTTTTATTGTTCAACTGGAAGTTGTTCTATATTTTTACATTCAGTTTTAAATTGCAAGTAAGTTTAGATCAGATGATAAGATATACTGTATTTATTCACATATAAGACGAGGTTTTTTTAATCACAGATTCAAATTCCTAGATCGTCCTATACACAAGAGTGAAGATTCTTTGTATTTTTGCAAATAATTTTTGTGAACTGTGTATTCACATTTTTACTGGATGCTTACCCTCCTGTATTTAAAAACAAGTATTTTATCTGGGTTGTTTAAATCATTCTTGTACATTGTAAGGAGTAAAGATGAATAGCAATAGGAAAAGCAAAGGTTTTGAATTGAATTCCAGATTGAAATTCCAAAATTACACAGGAGCATGATATCAGTTTTAATCCATTCCCATGTGAAAGCAAATTATTTGAAAATCAGAATTTGGAGAAACTCATAAGTGTAATCAATGGAGAGTGGATTCAACTTAAGAATTGGAAAAAAAAGGTTCCAGATTATCCAGCTTTACATGAACAAATTATGTTGTCGATTTTACAAGATTTTTGTTTAAAGTTTAAAATGCCAATAATTTTTGCAGGACAATATGTGCATTTACATTCATTTTATATTTTACTTGTGATTAAATGAAATAAAATTAGAATTGTATTAATAAATCTAATTTTCTTTATTTTGATCTTTAAAGTCACACCTCGTCTTATATGGAGTAAATACAGTAATAATCTTGAAAATTATTTTATCAAGTAATAAACCGACTCCTTAAAAATTATGAACATTTTGTCTTACAGATGATAATATTCAATCACTATTAATTCAGAGTTTTCTATTACAATTAAACAGAAATATACACAACTTTTAACCAAATATCTTAAGTAAAAAATATTTAAATCAAAAAATGTAATGAAATTATTTTCAATTAAAAACAAAAGAATTGGTCTACGTTGTAAACTTTAAAACTTAACAACAAAAATTATTTGGTGGACTAATATAACATCAGGTCTTAAAGCAGTCAGGACAATGAAAATAAGTGAGAAAAGTAAGCCCAAATTAAAAGAAAAATACTGTTAAAAGTATTATGGGAGGCTCATTATTACAAAACTAATGAAAGTGTACACAAAAAATGTGGACATGCTATGGTTGTGTGCTTGATGTTAGTCTTGCATGATTATGATGATTGCAAATGGTCATCTGCTGGGACACACACAGAAATTTGGCAGGCTTTTTCTCTTCTTTCGTCATAAAAAATATAACCAACAGATTCATACTTAACTTAATAAGAGAACCTATCAGTATGTATAGTAAAAAATCCAAGATGGGTGGAAAAAGGTGTACAATTACTTTAGTTTCTTTAAGTGTAAACAAGAAGAAATAGCCATAAAAAACATAGAAGCAAGAAAAGTAACTTTGCTTTGTTTTGCCTATATAGTGAATTTATTAAAAATATTTCTGCATAAATTATATATTTATTGTTTTTATAAAGTTACATAAAATTTTGTAACAACTAGATAAATAATAAATAGTCATAGATATACATGAGCAAGGTGAAAAGTTTTCAACCTAACCCATAGATGGTGCTACTACAAATGAAAGTATCATTTGGTTGTTTCCAGACTTGTTACAAAAGTAAATACCAAATGTGAATTTGATCAGACAAATAGTTTGTTTTATACGGCCATTTAAAGTAAGTATTGTGTGTGTTTTTGACAAAATGAATAAACTCGAATATCGTTCTGTCATAAAATTCTTCGTTTTGGATGGTTTATCGCCAACAGAAATTTATCCAAAGTTGAAGTGTATAAGGAGTCTGCACCTTCATTATCAACAGTAAAATAATGGGCAGTGGAGTTTAAGTGTGGTCGTACATTGATTGAAGATGATCCACGTGAAGGATGGCCAAAAACTGCAACTACCGAAGAAAATATCGAGAAGATACACAATATGGTTCTAGATGATCAACGATTAAAGGTGTATGAGATGGCTAAGGCTGTAGGCATCTCAGAAGAAATGGTACGGAACATTTTACACGAAGAACTCAGTATGAGAAAGCATTGCGCAAGATGGGTGCCACATTTGTTAAATGCTGATCACAAACAAATGAGGAATCGACTTTCTCAGCAATGTTTACATCATTTTAAGAAGGATCCAACTGATTTTCTGCACAGATTTGTTACAATGAATGAAACATGGGTTCACCGCTTTATCCGAGTCAAAACAACAGTCCAAGCAGTGGTTCTGCACTGAAGAAAGCAAAGACAATTGCAACAGCTGGAAAGTTTATGGCTAGTGTTTTTTGGGATTCCAAAGGAATTCTTTTAATTGACTACCTGTCAAAGGGTCAAACAAATAATGGGGAATACTATGCACATCTTCTTGACCAACTAGATGAAAAAATTAGAGAGAAAAGGCCTGGTTTGCAAAAGAAAAAAAAATCCTCTTTCACCAGGACAATGTACCTACTAACAAAGGTGCTTTGGCAATGGGGAAACTGAGGGATTTGAAGTATGAATTGTTGGAACATCCTCCCTATTCGCCAGATTTGGCTCCCTCTGACTTTCATTTATTCCCAAATCTTAAGAAATTTTTGGCAGGAAAACATTAAGTGAAGAGGTGATAGTAACGGTAAATGGATATTTTGAAGACCTTCCAGAATCGCACTTCAGGGATAGAATCCTGTTATTGGAGAAACACATTGGACAAAGTGTATTGAACTAAAGGGAGACTACATTGAGAAATAAATGCATTTTTAAAATAAAAAACTCATTTTTTCACTACTAGGGCAAGAACTTTTCACCTTGCCCTCACATATATATTATTATAGTAGAGTCTCAAAAACTCGGCCTAATGTGGACCGAAGGGTGGCCGAGTTTGTGAAAATGCCGGGTTATCGGGAATGGAGTTAAAAAAAAATAAATATGAGTGTTTCCTCAGAAAATACTGTACTGTACTTGTATGTATTGTTTACTTGAACAGAGAATACAACAGAGAATAAACTGCCCAAATACCCTTAAATAAAGAAAAAGTACATCCTTCATGAAGGCATAGAGCCTTTACTACATGAAAATGAAAATTAATGAATACACTGTGTACAGTAATTTACCTGATAAGACAGACCTCAGAAAAATACTTTATGAGNTGCCAATACTACATGAAAATGAAAATTAATGAATACACTGTGTACAGTAATTTACCTGATAAGACAGACCTCAGAAAAATACTTTATGAGGCATAAAGCTGTCTATAATGAAAATTAATTAACTAAGGATGTTTTTGCCCTGCCAGGGTGTGGCCGAGTTATCCGGACTGCCAGGTTATCGAGTGCCGAGTTTTTGAGACTCTACTGTATAAGTATAAAATTACTAATAGCTTATAACATACATCTATTTTCTTACCTTCCATAATTCTTCCAATTTATTTATTTGTTGAGCAGTAACTTGACGAGCTCTCAACTGATCTTGTTCTTGTGGGACTTTTACCAACCACGCTAAAAAACTTCTATCATCAATTAATGGTTTCCATTGTTCTGGGTCCCTATAAAAAAGTAATTAACTAAATTTATATTCTTATTGTACAGGTAGAAGATGGCAGACCAAACACTTTGATCGAAAAGATCTATTGTCTATATATACATATTACTGATCAAACTGATGGAATGATCCTACAATAACTTAAATTCTCAGTTTCTAACTACTAAATTGAAAAATACTAATTATATTGCCTTTATATTTTTATATATTAGTGAAGAACTAAGGAAATACTATATATAATTTTTTATGTATTATAGTGTGATTATCATCATATGAGTATGAGTTATCATAATTAAACCATAATAAGAAAATATTGAAACCAATAAGTTTCAAACAAGAATTAATTTATCTAAATCATTTAATATATTTAATAGATCATTTTAAGAGTTTAAGTAACTTATTCAAGAGAGAAAGAGATATCTCATTAAAATCAATTTTCTGATTAGAAGGATGTTGCTATGATTAGAGTGGTTATTATTTTGTTTCAGAATAATATTGAAATTTGTTCAAATCCTGGCACGTCCTTAAGTACCCTCTCATGGTCGCGCCAGTGCTGCCAGCTAAAACACGCACACCAACAAAAATAATATTGGAGTAGCCCAAGACATAACCAAAGATTGCAGTGCCACAGCACTAGTGGAAATTTAAACTTGCCGACTGAAAAGCTTTCGGTTAATTGACATTTCAGTTGATCAATATTCGGATAATTGATGCTCTACTGTATTTCTAAATGTCCATGCCATCTCCTTTTTTGTGTACTGGATTTAACAATTTTAACAGTGTTCCTAATAATTTGGCAACATTCACTGTTACATTGAACTGCAACAACCAAACTACTATTATTATATTTAATTGTGGATATGTGTTCTTTAAACCAAACCTTCAAATCTCTGCCAGTTTCACCTATATAAAATTTAGGTACAGTGCAGCTACAACAAGTTTGTAAATTACGTTTCTCTGGTCCCACATATTATCATCATTATCATGAGCGTCTATCTTCCTATTCAAACTAGGATTTTTTTTAGCACTAAAATTTGTTTGATTTAAATTTGATTCTTTCAAAGATATTTTGTTCATACGGAATTTTAAAAAAATTTATGAGTGGTGGTGTTGCTTTCATGTTTGTGTTTATTAGTTTCCCTATTATTGATCCAGTTGTCGATTATGCGTTTGCTGTAACCATTCATTATAACATTTTTATTACATCTTGTATTTCAGTTGTTTTATCAGTTTCATTAGTGGTACTGTACACTGCATGATTTTGTCAATGTGAATATAAAAAATGTTTTTCTTGATGTAACTGGGTACTTCAGAAGTGTAATTGCATGACACTGTCTACAGTGCATGGATTTTTTGTGTTTTTTAAAAGTGGTTTTGTCGTTAAGTCTAGTGACAAGAATGTCTAAAAAAAGTAACTTGCAGTTATTTTTGGGTTCTAAATCAAACTTTATATTTGTGTCTATTTTATTAACAAGTTCTAGAATCTGGTTTGCATGTTTAATATTATTATCATAAACTATAAAGCAGTCATCCACGTAGCATTGTAAATCTATACTGCCCATAATGTTGGCAACTTTCTTATCAATGTTGGACATGAAAAAATTCAGCTAAAATGGGACCTATACTGAACCCATCGGGATGCCATCATTTTGCCTATAGAATTTATCATTGCTAACAAAGTAGTTATTTTCTAACACAAGGATTGTCATGTCTATAATCCATTGGTTACAGTTATGCATTTTTAATGTTTCTAAAATTCTATTTTTTATTGATGGATACATGTTGCATACATCTGGGGAGGCTAGTCTATAACTTGGCTTAAATGCTATAGTTTTTAATTTTTGTATGAAACTATCAGTACTTTGTATACTATGATGAGATTTTTCTAAAGCATTTAATTTCCCTCTTAAAACTAATTCAAGATTATAAAATATATAGCCTTTTATGTCTACTAAAGGTCTGTCTGTATGAAATGGGTTCTCTATGAGTTTTGATTCTATAGGAAAACTTTGGTATTCTGTTCGCTCCTCTTAAGATAAATTGTTTTTCAGTCCTATTAATAAGGTTTTGCTTTTCAAGTTTTTCAAGGGTTGCTCTTAATTTTTTGTTAAGTGAATCAGTAGAGTTATTATTAAGTTCTTTGTACATATCTTGGTCTAGTAATTGCCTGTAGATGTTTTTATCTTGATCCTTATTCACAATTATTGTTTGTTTTGTCCACTTTGACTATTATTAAGTTGTTATCATTTAAAAATTTTTTTAGATTCTCTATTTTATGCTTATACATTATTATTTTATTTTTTCTATTTCTACTGATTTTATACTTAAACAGTTCATGCTGTAGTTCTTCTCTTAATTTGATTGTTTGCTCTTGTGTTGTTGGTGAAAAACTAGTGATATTTTCTCAATTGTTTCTATCAACAGTGATTGGAAATGCATACTCTAGGAAATAAAAATGTAATTTTCGAAAGATTGTCCTGTTTCTAATTGATGGTGTAATAAGTCTAGTGGAAAAGAAAAGCCATCACAGAGCTCGTAAAATTGAATACAAGACTAGACAAGAAGCATATTACAGAACTCAGTAGATTTTATTATTTTATAAAACCATTTCATATTTAATAATACATTGTATGTATTAATTATCTTATTAAAAAAAATCAAACAATAAAATGACAAGCCAAACTATGAAAAATTCTAACAGATTTTTATTATATTATTCAAATGGCAACATATTAAAATTTGGTAGAACAAATTTTATATGATCATTTTCTTTAGCTTTCATTTCTAATAATTTTGATAAAAACAATATTTATTTCTTAAATTTAGTTTAATTAAATTACAGGTATCTCTCATACAACATGGTTTGAGAATTTGGGAAATTGTCCATACAAAATTTCACAATTTTTAAGCTCAAAGTCCAGTATTCAATATTTTTTTTATTCAAGTAAGTATATGTGTCATCTCAAATTTGCCTATGGATTTTAGAATATTGAAATTTTCAATTTGTGCCTTTCATCAGGTTTATTTTAATGGAAACTGATAGTTGATAGGAAAGCTAAAAAACTGCACTAACAAGGAAACTGTCGGAGTGTCTTCTAATAAATTTTAATAAAATTTAGTTAATAACTACGTTAAAAGTATACAAACTCTATTTTAAATTTGTAGCATTCACTAAAAGTGTTGATCAAAGTTATTAGCAATCAAATGTTGCACTACTTTATAGTAGTTTAACACAATTACGCAAATTTTTAGAAGTGAAAGGATCGCAGAGGAAGACAGCGATATTATATTTAGAATAAATTCTGGAATTTTCAAAAATGGTTGAAGAATTAATAAAATTTTGTATACTTTTAACATAATTATTAACTAAATTTTATTAATTCTTCTCCTATTTTTGAAAATTCCAGAATTTATTCTAAATATAATATCGCCGTCTTCCTCCGCGATCCTTTCACTTCTAAAAATTTGCGTAATTGTGTTAAACTACTATAAAGTAGTGCAACATTTGATTGCTAATAACTCTGATCAACACTTTTAGTGAATGCTACAAATTTAAAATAGAGTTTGTATACTTTTAACGTAGTTATTAACTAAATTTTATTAAAATTTATTAGAAGACACTCCGACAGTTCCCTTGTAAGTATTGTTTATGTTGCTTTCAGATATTAACCTTTAAGACTGTTGCCATGTTTTGTTTTTATAGATTAATTTTTGTATTTAGTAAAGTTTATTTAAACATTTTTAGGTAAGTGTTATTAAACTTTTTTTTAAACCTACAGTTAAAAAAAAAGTTTAATAACACTTACCTAATTTGTAATCATTTGTAAAAATGATAAATGAAATACAGCAGTATCTTGGTACTCAAACTAGCTTGAACAAATTCTGGAGAAAAATTTCCTGATACTCAACTAAACAAACAAGGGTCCCCTAGAATAAATTTTTGATTAATAACATATTTTTATTTTGTCATACATAAAATATTTTTATGATAAAAATAAGAAAAATGAAAACATTGCTAATATTTCTGACCAAGATCAATAAAAAAAGCTCAGATAATGATGATACTTTATAAAAAGAAATCACCCTAATTTTATGAAAATTAATATTAACATCTAATATAGTACTTTTAATTGTGATTGTTAGTTAATTATTGATTGATTTAATAAACATATTTCTCTTAGTAACAAAAAGAATAATATAGTTTTGGCAATTTTTAGAACCTAACCCATGTTTTATATTAGTCTTTTGTTTCATATAGCATGGATTCACATAACATGGCACTTCTTCGAACATAACTACTATGTTATGCAAGGGATATCTGTATTTTAATTCCTGTTTTTGAAGTTATCAAATATAAATTCAAAACATAATTTTAAAATATTTATAAAGAGAATTCTGTACAATCAATTCTAAACAGGGATTGTATCACCGGTGATGCATAGGTAAATATACGGTAATTTGTTATTTTTTTTTACCGTTAAATTCGGTAAAAATAGGTAGAATTAATAATTTTTTGAAGCCAAACATTTATTTGTATACGCTTTCACGTGAATTTATAGTTTTATATACTAAAAGCACAGAAGCATCAACTGTTATTTAAATCATGGCGCCCAAACTTTTCGATTAGCGGACCAAATTGCATATAAGTCGCAAGTAGATGGGCCACCAGTAGCCATATGGATAAAACCACGAACACTTGTAGTTGGTTGCGAGTTCGTGCCTGACTAATGGGCTGTCCTCGTGGAATTTTCTTCACAACTAACACCTAAGTAGGGACCAGTTTTCCATAGAAAGTTCCATGAGGTAAGTACTTTCCTCCTTGACATATCTTCCCACGTGTTGCGTTGCCTTATCCCATTAATCCTACACTCTTGAACATGATACAAACATTTTGTATATTCCATATATACTAAGAACAGCCCCATTTTTATCATTTATAAGAGATGTGTCAAATATGTTTTCAGGACTGAATTGGCTGGAGGCCGTAGTTCGGGCATCACTAATTTAAACTGTAAATT